ACGAAATTTAAAAAAATGAGTATTAAAATTTTAATATTTTACCAATTAATTAGGTATGATATTATATAATTTTCCTAGTTTACGTTTATTGTATCGTTTAAATTGTTTAATGCCTTCTAACTAAACTACTAAAACATATAAGAGATATTATTTCGCAGTAAACAAAATTATCCAACTACTTGGCTAATACAACGTGCAAAAATCCAACGAAAGTATTGAAAAAAAGTCACTAAATTTAATTAAGCGAGTAGCTTTTATACATTGATCTTGATCAATACATTAAAAAAGGTATTTTTATATAGAAATAAACATATGAATGTATGTTAATGAATATATTGATAACTTAATGCAATAGGTTTTTAAGATACCAAAATTACTTATAACTACTTATCAAGTATTTTATATCATAAAAATTATGTTAACAATTGTAATGAAACCATTAAAACATTTTGATAAACAATGTAATCATATTATCATAACAAATTGTTTACGAATGAATAGAAAGTAAAAGGAATTAGGTTGACTTAAGGCCAACATGAATTTGTTTTTCCATCACAAAATAATAATTCTACATAATTACAGGAAAATCGAAGTCAAAGATTTTTCGTATACTTACAACAAAAATAAAATCAACCCAACTAAATCAAAATTTTTTTTATAAATGAATTAATTTTAATCATCCCGGCGTTTAGGATAACAACAATGTAATTCATTTTTAAATACTTTCTCCCATTAATTTGTCTAAAAATGTAGAAAACAATTTTCTGCTCGAATGACATTGTGATTTAGCAAAACGACAAATGTAACTGTTCACTCGTAAAAAAAACCAAAAAGAGAAATAATAAAAGAGAAATCCGGGGCTAGACGATTTTAACAGCGGGTGTTCACTGTTCACTACTGAAGTACCAAACACATCCCCTAACAAATATTAAATAATTCAGGAGAAACGATACCGACAACAGAACCTATAAAGATATTAACTATCTACCTATGCTATAGCACACATGCACAGCAACGAGTCGAACAACGGAAACCGTACAATTCATACAAAAGGTGTGAGAGAACACGCACGAGGAGGACAACGCTGCTCGTCTGGTCTGCGCCGCACGGCAACAATGAAATCATAACCTCAAAAAAACATACAATTCGGGAACGCATATATATTTTATATATATATATATATCATGTCAACCAAGGAAACGTGTGTAACGATGGGATGGGATAATAATATTCGACGTGTAATATTATATATTTAAACGAACGTGCTTCCGAATTTACGTATTATAGACCGCTTGATGATAGCGTTCGCATTTCACTATACGGGATACCGGAAGGGGTAAACACAAACGACGTCTGTCCAAGACAATAATAATAATCTAATATTACGGGTCGAGCGCGTTGGGCACGATTTTTCTGAGCCAGACATTGTGTGCGAATATACGAAACTGCATAACGACGAAATGCGAATACGTCGTCGTCGTCACCGCTGCTGTTTTCTAACCTTGAAAATCGGTCTAGCGCGCGCAAACACACGCGCCCACCATCGACAGACGACCACTCGCTAGAGAACAAAAGCATCGGCCAACCGGTAGACAACCAAATCACACTCGATGGTAACCTAACGTGGTGGGGACACATTTCATCGTTATTATAACGCGCACGTGATAGGTATAACAATGTTAAATCACTGGTGTAATATCATAACCGATTTCTCATCACCGACGATCGCCTTGCGACTGTGAAATACACTACCAATCGCTCACCATTTCCGTGCCCATGTCTTTCATGGTTGTCGGTTGGAAATCCTGCGGGTCTCCTAGGCGATACCACAACGGTGTGTGGGTGAGCTGTTCGTCTTCTACCCTATCACGACCGGCTCACGACCACATGTACGCTTATAGCACCGCAGTGTGCTCAACGCGAAATACGGAAAACTCGTGTACACATATGACTATTATTATGTTATTAAACACTGATACTCGCTCGTAAAACACGTTGCTTAAAAATATTTAATTACTTTATAAAAATTATATTTTTACACAATATTTAGAGTGATACGATTGCAGGTAAAGGGAATACGATTGAGTGAGAGAACCGTTTGCCGAATGCGAAATGTGTCCGGCTAATCAATAGCAGTAAATAATAATAATAATAACAATATTGCAGTGAAATCACTCGGTTAACGAACGCACCGGGACGACAACATCTCGCACGCGAACACGGGACACACACTGACACTGGCGCGGCGGCTTGGGGCTGCGGCTGCGGCTGCCGGTCGCCCGCCACCCACCGACCATCAAACCCGGTAGAACCTACTAGCGCTCCTCGCGCATGCTGGCACAGCAGAATGTTTTTATAATAATATATAATAATATAATGCTTAACAATATTATACCGTGATATTATTATTTATATTTGTATATTCCTCCAAACAAGAGTTCAAAAAACTCGTGAACTGTGCGCTGACGACATCACATAATCAGCATTTTGTCTTTAAAAATTGAATAATAATGTTTTGCTTTGTATGCGCGATACAATCAAATGACGATAATCATAAAATGTAATACGACAGATAACAGCGACGTCAGTCGATAATATAGATTATAGACTAAATATAAAACGTTACAAACGATCTTCGTCAATTTGTTCGTACAGCGAGACTTCTCTTCTTCTACAGCTCTACCGTCGTCACTATTATTACCATTTACTTTCGATATTTTCACGGATATTAACTCTCGGAAAATAATATATTATGTAATAATGTTATTATAAAAGTAACTACGATAATATCGTATAGTATTGTGGAGTCGTAGTAAAAATGCAGAAGAAACCATTGCACCAGAACGCACGATGCGCGTGCGCGTTTGTGTCGGCACAACAGGTAGACATGACGACACGCGCGCGTCAGAGAACCGGGACTCGGGACTCGGGAGACATCCGGAGACAACGGAGGTAAGTACGACGACGGCGCACGGTCGTCATGATACGCGACTGTCGAGGATGGCTCCGCGACGGGCGTAGGACAATCGCCAAACAGCCACTGCGACACCAACGCGTTGTTCGTTCTGGTCATCGACATCAGACATGTTTTCAACGCGATGAAAACCAATACAACATAACTATGAACAATAATGTTGTGTGTGTTGCACGTGTAGCGATGTCGGGACACGGCGACTTCTAATCACCAACATTTTCTTCGATTTCGAGTGTCGGCGGAGGACAGCGTAACGTTTTTCGCGTATAAAATTCCAACTATTCCTAAGATAATCGACCTTAATCAACGGCACACTGCGTACAAAATGTGTAAAAAAACACATAACTCCACAGTGATAATCGCCCGGCAAAATAAATATTTTAATTTACTCATATATTCTTAAAATTATGTTTGCAAGATAATAAATTGCGCCTTATATTGTTGCTAATTGCTATGGTAACTGTAAATAAATCAATGACGTTATTTACGGGTATAGTTACACTCCTAATATATTGTTCACAGTTATCTCCGTATGTTTGATCCGTCTAATATCAATATATATTATATAATATATATAATATTAAATACAAACAACGAATACAATATATAAATGAATATGAGCTACTTTCAATTGTTTTAAAGTACACTTCAAAATAATAAAAATAATGCACACAGTTTGGATAATAAATAACAAATATTAAACCAACATAATAAAATCGCTTATCTTATATTATAATAAAGTTGAAAACGATGCGAAAATTTCGCTTTCTTTTTTTTTAAACTATAAAAATTAAACATTTTAATATTATTTTAGGCAAATTTTATACCATAATGGTCATAACTCATAATTATTAATATAATGTGCAGATACTACCTTAAGAAATATAGATAATAATTATTTAACAAAATTATCGTTACTAGTTAAACATAGTACTATTTACTAGTCCTAAATAAAATCAATTATTTTTTATCAATTTTGAATTTTTTTTATGTAAGTATTCACAAATAAATTTAAAAAATTAATTAACAAAATATTTTCCAATGTTTGTCGATTAAACATACATGCTTATTATTATCAAGAGGATAATAATTGTGCACTGTTTATTTTCTCTCTGGCCAAAGCATAACATGAACAAAATGCATTTATACAAAATCATATTTTTGATGTTTTTAAGTAATCATAGAGTAAAAACACATATTACTTAAATTATAAAAGATAATATTTTTGAGGGTTTAACATATAGAATTTACATTTTATAATTATTTAATTTGATATTCAACTTAAAAAATAAAAAAATAAAAACTTATAAATTTAAATAATATTTGAAATTGTTCTGAAACAATATTAAGGCAATTTAATTTATCATACTTTCAAAAATATTTTTCTCTATAATTTTTGTTATGGGTGATTTTACTTTAACATTACTCAAAAGCATCAAAAAAATTAATCTGTGTAAATGTGTTTTATCTATATTACACGTGGGTCAGAGAGAAAAAACAAACAGTAAGCTGACATCATCTTAAATTATCAATTTGTACAGCATAATAAGTAATTAAAAATTTTGCATTTGTAAAAGAAAATTTATACTAATGTAGTTATGTACTTAGATACTATGCATACATACTTCAACTATTGAATAAAGTAAAAGAGTATTATAAAATTTTTAACCAATAAAAATTGACTAAGATTTCAACAACTAAAATTAAATCAATAATGAATAAATAATAATAATATTATAACAATAAAACTAATAAATCATTTTTAGGATTTTAATGAAATATTGAAAACAAAATTGTTTTATTTAACTCTTCAAAACTGTATGTTCAGTTAGTTTTATAAAGGTTCCTTATAAAATATTCAATATCTGATACTTCCACACCTTGATTCACATTTTAATTGATTGTTTTGGCTTTTGAGAATATTTTTTTTTTTTTATTTACTTATGTTATTAAGAGTCAAATAGTGATTGCCTACATGGCTACTATAATTAAGTATACTGAAGTTAAAAACAAATAGAATACTTACTTCTCCATTTCGCATATGTAAATCCATAGTATGTTGTTGTTGTGTTGACATAATTGCATGAGCTGAATTATGTGCCATTGATGAGTTTGCTAAATCTGCCATATGCTGCTGATAAGGATGTAATCCTGGAGGTGCTCCATAAACATACTGCTCAGCACCACCTTCTCCAGACTAAAATATAATGTAAAAGGTTTATTGTGAGTTATAAAACTAAAAAAACATCAATGATTTTAATTTCATGTCTATGCAACTATTAAAAAACTAAAAACTATTATAAAATAAATATTAATACACAATTGTATCATGGTAGGTACAATATCACTATTAAATGCCTTAAATAACTTAGACGTGCAACAATAATTTTAATAGATGAAAAAATTATCTGCATGCTAATATTTTAAATAAAGCACATGTCTTAACAATAAAAAATTTGTTTTTTTTTTTAACAATATTCATAAAAAGTTTATGTAAATATCCATTATAATTTGCTTTAACTACTTAAAATATTTAATTTAAAAGATATTTTAATAAAATTAAATAATAAATACAGTACTTAAGAAAAAGAAAAATATGATATTTTAAAGACTTTAATAATATTTACAATTAGCTAAAAGTACCAAATATTTAGAATAAAAAACTTATTTCACAGGAAAAAAATATAATATTACTGAAATCTTCAGAAGTTGCTTTTAACTTTTTTGATTATGATTTCTGTTTAATGTTATTTAAAAGTTCTACACTTAAAATAGTATAACATTTAAAGGGGAAAGTTGACTAGAACAAAGTCTTAAATACCAAGTTTTAGAGACAAGAAAAATTAAATATCGATGAAGTAATCAAAATATATCAGTGACAGTTATGTAAATATTTTTAACAGCAAAAATTAAATTAAATATTACAGATGTGTTATTTCTTTTGGTTGTATGAAAAACTATGATATAGTGTTATCAATAATAGTTTAATAAAGAATTGTTTCTATGTTGTCTGACGCAAATAAAAATTGTAAATGATATTCATATGAATACAGTAATACAAATTGAGTGAAATACTAAACTAAGATATTGGATTTTTATTGATATAAATATATAATAGATTCAAATAGAGAGAAAATGGATCTTGATCAATTGGAGATGTTGATTAACTATCCTACACAAATAAATATGATATAAATGTTTAATTTTTATTAGAGCAAGGACTTCTATATATTTGCATATTACTTTTGTTTAACTAAATCATATGCTTAATAAGAACACAATACATTTTAAACATTTGTGATTAAGCACTCAAAATTGTTACTACGTGTTTTTAAGTTTAAAAGACATATTTTTGATTATAAGAGCATATTTTAAGTTTCAAGTGTATATTTTGATAGTATATCAAAAATTAAACATTTCAATAAATATTTTTCATGAATCAAGGACAACAATTAAATTAAACTATAAATTTGCCATAAAGATGATAGATTAATTTTTATCATAATGGTCAGTTGGTAAATTAGATTAGACCTGTGTTGGCTGTATTATTGGTTTTTTTTTATATATATACATATAAGAAGCAGTTATATAGCAAATTAAATTTAAAAAAAAAATATTTTTAAAAATGTAATTTTTTTTTTTAGGGTATTATTTTAATTTTATAATGGATAAGTGCATATTTGATGATTTGTTAGTGCACATAAGTAAAAATATTATTAATATTTTTATAAAACATGTATTCAATTGTTTATTTTTAAATATAACTATTTAGGTATAACAGTTATTTATTACCTACAAAATATATTTAAAATTGTATGTATTAGATAAGGATCAGATAAAGATAAGAATGTAATACCCATTAATTTGAGGGATGGAGGAGTAAACTGTCAATCCTAAAAATATTATATCTAAATACATCACTATACACAAACACAATTTAGTATCCTTGTTATATTAGGTGTACTACACACAATACTTGACATCTACCACATATATACTGAGTCATTCTCACTAAATCAATAATGACAGCGATTACACTTTATCCTAATCAAAATTCACTTCTATTTTAATAATATAAAATTTACCTGAGTAGAAATAATCATAGTTGTATGAAATAATTAGTTACAGTTTAATTCGTGATATACATATGTATTATACATGATATACATTATTCTGTTTTAACATTGTTCACCAAAAATTTCAATTTAAATATTAAATTGAAGAAAAATAATACTATATTTAAAAAAAAAAGAACTTATGCAAATTGATACTCCTTTCCTTGTGAACACTATGGCTCTTTAATATAACTTAATACTTATAAAGAACAAGGAGAAAACCAAATCATGGAATGATGCACAAAGAAAAGTTGCTAATGGACTCAGTCTGTTCATAAAAGTAAAACTTGTTTCACATACAATAATAAAAACCATAGATGTAATAGTGACTTGTCATTGTTACAAATTTTAGAACTTGCTTATTATTGGTGTCTATATATACCATAAAAATATTAATAAAGTATAAACGTTATACAATATATATAGTATAACTGGAAGATTTTGTCATGACATACTTGTAGCTGCTTCCAAAAAAAGAAGAAAAAATATAAATACAAATGCCTACTAATGATTAAGTCAATGAATATCTCAATACATATTAAAAAAAAAAAAAAATATATAACAGAGAATAATTATTAGGTAATGATGGAAATGTGGAAGTAGATATAAAGAAGGTTAATTTTATTAATAAAAATTATGGTAAAAAACCTATTGTTTAATGGAGGTTGAGTATGTATTAAGAAGACAAAAATAGTGTTATACAGAAAATACTTCGTTATAAAAAAAAAGAGAAAAGAGAGACACCACACATAAAAATTAAAAAGAAATTAGTATAAAACTAATACACTTAGACAAATGACAAATGGCTTGCATATTAGACTATAGAGACTAAAGGGTATATATAAATATACAGTTAACCACTCTCACATTTGCTGCCATCATAATTAGCAGTTGGTGATTTCGGAAAAATGATAAACCTACCAACTTGAATATTTTTTTGAAACTTCAAATCATATTGAAATACATAAAAAAAAATGTTTAAAATTAGTTTTTATTAATATGTAATGTTAAACTGCTAAAAAATAATAAAAATAGATAATTATATTAAAAATATCATATTTATATTATTTGTGTATAATTAAATGTGTTGCGAATAATATTTATAAATAAATATATTTTATTATTTTAAAATAGTTTTTACACACATGTATTTAAATATAAAAAATATTTGGTGAACAACACATGAAAAGAATTGCACACAGTTGCATTTTTATAAATAAATTAAAATAAGTCAGGTTTTCTCAAGACTAAAATATTTAACAGAAAAGAATAAATAAAGAAAAAACAGATAAGTTGAGTTATCATTTTATATACATTTTTAGATTTATAGTACAAATCAGTGGAGGAATTTAATTAAGAATATAATTGGCAAGGTATTTTAAAAAAATGCGTCAGTTTTAGATATAATTTCTGTAAAACTTAAAAATAAGTTATTTGTTATCAACAAACATATTTTATATTACCAATTACAATTTAATATTACTCATTATTCTTATTTTTTTAATAGTATATTGCCACAAAACAAAGGTTGAGAAACACTGTTCTAAAAGACATTAATTATCATTATTATTATTATTAAATATACATCAGCAGCAACAACCATTGGAAATATCAGAAAATATAATGATAAATAAGCGTATCAGAACATAAAAAACTCAACTATATAGATAATACTTAAATAATCGTAATTCCAAAATTTAAGTTTTTAGGAAAAATATATTAATATTTTCTGTTAATTTTATATGCAATGATTACTTTTTAGTTTTTTAATAATTCACATGATTAGAAATTGGTAGATTATATTATTTGTATTAGAATAATAAAAATTTTACGAGATACATCAAATCCATTGAATTATCATGAATTCATAGTCTATCATAACATACATTTAAATATAGATAACATTTTGCTAGAATAACATAATATATATATTAAAGTATTTACTTCAAAACTTCATAAATTGAGTTTTCAAAAAAAATTATTATGCTTAATAAGTTAATTCTGTTTTACTTATTTGAAAAAAAAAAACTCAACTTCTAACTTCTCAAAATAACCATCAAAATTAAATAATTTTATTTTAAAATACCGATAAACATTTTAAAGCTATTTAAACCCAATTAACTAATAAAAAAACTGTATCCTATCTACGTGCGTAAAATATTCTCCTTTTAATTTAATTATGCAAATCATAATATAACAAAACCTTTCTAAGTAAACAAAAATATATGAATAAAGCAACAGTTTTTTTTAAAAATTCTCACTTTAACTAATATTGGTTGTAATTGATATTGTACATTTGGTACTTCAGATATCTGAGGTGGAGGTTGAGACATTTTCGCAGAGAAATATTTCCATTTCTCCTGCATCTTAAACATAAATAACAGTCAATCAAACCTCAAATCCTACTTTTTATCCTATATTATATGTTATATTATAAGTAACATCTATAACAATAACAATAAATTAACTTACTTGTTCTAAAAAACAGTCCTCTGAGGTTGCTGGCCATCTAGGCTGTGGAAGTTTAGATGGTAATGGAGCAGATTGTAATCCATATTCTTGTGATTCGCCTGATGCACAATCAAACACATAATTGACAATTGGCTCTTCTTGTACAGTTTGTCGCAATACATTATCTCCACTTGGTTCATTTTCATTTAACTGTTGTTGATGCTCCTAAAATAATTAAATGATAAATATTTTAGTGCATAGTACAATATAATAAAAATAAAATTATATTTATACTATTAACTAATACAATTATTCATTAGTAATATAACATTACTCATTCCTAATACATTATAAAGTTAAAAATTTTATAAAATGTATGTTTAATACTTTAAATAAACTAAAAAGTTAGTTTAAATTAATAAATAATAAAACTATGAATTATAAGAAAATTATAGAAGTTTAACATGAAGATATTCAGATTATCATAATTTAGACAATCAATTTATAACCTGACTTTATAACAGTTTATTTATTATGAATAAAAGATATTTTATAATATTTCAAAATAAAAATTAGCTAAATTAAAAAAATTGAACATGGCTTTAAGATATGGATTTTGAGCAAAACATTAATCTAATTGGTGTTTATTCATCTTAGACTTTTGTATAGTGATAACATTTTTGGTCAATACCTTTTAAATTATATTAATTACCAATTACTATACAAAAAATATATGTTATAACATAAAAACAGATAATTATGATTGTACTGAATGTTTTAATTAATATGAATTACTTACTTGCAAATGACTACCACTGTTATTCAACACTGTATTATTTGTGCTGGAAACAGGTACATTCCCTGCGCCTAACCACTTCATTTGAAATTTTAAGAAATCTGAAATTAAAAATTATATTCACAATTTGTATTATTAAAACTATAATACTACATTTAACTAATTTATAAAAATCAAGTAAAACAAGGTAATAGTAGTTATAATTTACTACAAAATACAAATTACATTGACATATAACATAAACATGTATTTCAAAATATAATAAATATTCATAATTGAAATAATTATAAAATTTTTAATATTTATGTAAAGAAATTTAATACCAAAATTAACTAATACTAATAAAATTAAAAATACTAACAAAACATTAAGTATAACAACTATGTATAACTTGAATATTAAAAACAAGTTAAATATATATTCTCATAGTAAACATTTTTCAGAAATATCTAAAAGTATAAGTAACTCTTGAGATATAAATATTATATTGAGTATGTTTTGAGTAATACAAATTAAAATTAACCAATTAATGAAGTAGTAGGTTGCATTAGTATACATTTTTACACAGGTACTTTTATACCTACAAAGTACAAATATTATGTCAATACTGAATCTACTCTTTTTTTTCATATTTGAATCAACATCGCAAAAACTACTTTTGCAATATTTCTGCAATGCAGGTTAGGTTAGATATCTATATAGTATCTACAAACAATATTAAGGAACCAGTAATTAACTTATAAATTTATCTTTAAAAAATTTGATTTTCAGAAACCCTGTTAGTTTATTACAAACATATTTTAAGTTATATGCTCTCTTCAAATAATTATAACAAAATAATAATATGTAGAATCCTATTAATACCAATATTCTGTAAATTACCTTAAAAATATTTGTTACATAAATGTTTTATCATCAAATATAACAGAGGTTACCAAATCGTATTTATTTTATTCTAGAGTGGGATGGAATAAAAATTCTTAAGTCCAATACCCAAATACAAGGTTAATGAAGACTTAAATTAATAGTATATTCTATTATTAAAACAAGCATAAATTTAATAACTTAGGTATACTAAAAAAATATAAGCAACATAGATGATAAAATATTATAATTTATATTTCATACACAAAATTTAATTTTTTTGGGTTAGTAATTAGAAGTAAACATTTAGCGCCTAGAACATTACTTATGAAGGTACTCACTTAATAGTGTGATGATGAAATGATTGTTAGTTTCAGTATGACAGGTAAATGGTTTAAGTTGAAATATTTAAGACCCGATAGGCTTAACCAGGGGTGGAGAGAAGGTGCTAGGATATTATCACCCCAGACTCAAAATTAATGCCCTTAAAAATCTAAGCCATAATATTTAATTTTTAAAAATATATTAAATTTTAATGAAATTATGTATTTTAATGATTCAAACTCATTATTTTATTTTAAAGTAATTGAAGAATGGTTTGATGATAATAATTATGATTACCATGATTAACATTATCAATGACATCATGCTTAAGAAATATGAGGAATACCTACCATAAAAAAGAGGCTTTTCCTAACATGTATAAATTACTTTTAAATAATTTTCAAATAATTTACCTATGAACTCAAAACTTTTGAAAAATCTTATACTTCCATATCAATTACTGAAGCAAAGTTTAAATTATAAATTTAAACTAATACTTATAAGTACTAAAAATGTATTGGATCCTATAATCAAGAGCAAGAGAACATAAAATAGAGGTTATAAATAATTAAAAATGTTAGTTTAGGGTAATCTAAACATACATCTACATACAAAAATAACTTTTCTATCATTAAAAATAAATCAAAGATTTATATTCAAAAAATAGTTATTAAATACTACCTGCCAATCAAAACATATAATACAACTATTATAAGGATTTATATTAATTTTAAATGATAAGAATTACAAAAGTTGTAATTTCAAAAAAAATATAAAACCAAAAATGAAATAACTAAAATTTTTTATAAAGATTAATGGTAAATTAAAATGACATAGTACTTATCATAAAGGTTGAAATACGTGAAGTATAGATATATCAATCATTTTAAACTCATATTACTATTGATTTGATAAAACCATTGAAATGTTTGAAAAAAAATAAAGAAACTTAAATGTTCTAGATAAATAATTATGAACAAGTCTACAACGATACTAACCAAATACAATAATTAAAATGACAAAACAATGAATTAATATAAAAAAAAAATCCAATATCAGTATTCAATTTTAAGGGCAGACAGTTATAATCAAATCATAATATGATCAGAGTGTGTACAATGAACGTTTAAGAAGGATTTATATAAACAAGTCACTGGCAAAAAAATTTTAACTTGCACCGGTATTTGGTAGACTCACTTGTAACGATAGCCGGTCGATGGTGAACGAAGAACCAATTGAACCGATGAAAAATGTTCAGCAATAACTGAGAGATGATTTGTTTACACTGCTATTAAACAACCGACGGTTTTTTAATTGCAATATTATTTAAGTGATGGCTAATTGTTTCAATTTTATCTATTTTTATTATTGTTATTTATTATTATTATTGTTATTTATACAAAGTACCTCTGGAACGCACAGCCGGCACTCAGCATTCGCTTACACCACACACACAAACACACATATACACGCCACACACGAACGAACGAACGAAACTTTACAAAATTATACAACACGAAATATCTGTACACCTATATAATGTATACTACAAACGTATATAATATATATGTATGATTTTTTTTTTTTAAGTTATGATATAATATTTACAAATTACGCGGCCTCCGTCGGGAGGTTTTGTCCACCATTGAATTACATTAGACAAGGACCGTCGACATTGATAGTTCTCTATGGTGTTCACTCTGTCGCACGCGCACACGGCCACCATCTAAAATCTAGCCATCTTACTCTCGCCCATTAGCAGTAGTTGGGTGTTCCGTGCTAGTGTATGGTTCTCTCTCACGCCACTGCTGCTACACCCTCCCCCCCCGGCCCCCCCGCCACCTCCACCCTCCCCCCCCGGACATAAAGTCAACAGATAAAACGGTAGCTGCTACAGCTGCTGCGGCGGCACTGTTTGTAAGACCTGATAATAGTGGTGCGCGGCGTTGGCCTTGCCGAAATGTTGTTGATATGGTGCGGTCGCGAGGCGCCGGTGGGCGGTCACCCGGGTGCTTGTCACAATCACACGGGCCAGTCCATTGAACCACACCGATGACAACACTAACGCCATTGTTCCGACCATCGTTGATTGCCGTTTTTCCTCCACGCCGACCGCGAACGCTGCGCCATAATTCCGGACGCGCCATAGCACCGGCACTGTGTCAGCCTTAGATATAAATATACGATCTGATCAAAGGCGTCAGCTGACAGGCGACGCCGACAGCCCCACAGGCCACAGGCCACGGGGCATGGTCGCACACTTGCACGGAGTACGGAACTACGGACTTTAGTGATGGTAAAATGCTATTTATTTAATTAGCAATAGCAATTGCTATTGCTAATGTAAAATAGCAATGATAAATAGCAGCAATTGCTATTTTTCTTGATATCACATAAATGTTGTTATTTTAACGTGTGTTTCCAATAGCAGGACATTTTATTCAGGTTGCTACTATGATAATAAATATCACAGTGAAATTAGGAGTGATTGCTACTTCCACTTCCACTGCTACTTTATACTTTTCATATACTTATAACAGGGCTCGGAAGTTGTAATACTAAAAATGTTACTTTTTAGCTCTTAAATATGCACTTAAAAACTCCAAAATATGCACTATAAATAGCACAAAAAAAATCAAACAATATGCATTTAACTTGAAAAAATTAAAATTTATTAGAAAAAAATTAAATGTTTATTACTATTTTTTAGTAAAAAAAAAAAATTACTTTTTAGTGAAAAAACCTTTTGAATTTTGACTTTTGAGCGGTATTTTTTTGGATAGTATACTGATTAGATTTGATTAGATGAATTTCAATTAAACATCAAGTATTTCAAATTCAAACAAAGTGTTTGAATATTTGCTGTTAATAAGCATCTTAGTCTTTAAATCACTTAAGTGTTTTCAAAACACTTATAAACAGCAAATATTATTAAATTTAAACAATATAAATAGATGACAATATTAATTTTAAGCCATTGTGAATTCGAATCACTTATTATTTTTATAATTATAATTGTATTTACGTATATTATGTTCAGTGTTTAAATTTTCATTGATAATTGTGTTTAGGACTGCAATAAATCAATAAAACAAGACATAATATTATGTAATTTAGTGTTAAAGTGGCAAGATAAATATAATTTACTAAGAATCTAACCAACATTTTTTATATTAACTGCTTTAAAAAATCACAAATGAAGAAATAATTGAAAAAGTATTTTTTGTAAAGAATTTCTAAATGATTTATTACCTTCAGTTTTTTATTTAAGTTTGATGAATATTTAAAAAAATATTTAATAGACAATAGACATATAGTGTAGATTGTAGCTGATAGTAGATATTAAATTAAATAATATTATATAGAATTAATAAAATGCTGTTTAAAAAAAAAAACAAATCATTAAAAATTTTCTAAAATACTTATGATAGTCTTAAAAAAAATTCTGAAAACGTCTTAAGTTGTTTTACATTTTTTTTCTTATTAATGATTCACACATTTAATTATTCGCTTTAATCATATTTTATACCACACAGCATGTTTTTTTTATTGTAAGTATTAATAAAAAACATAATATATTTTTTTGTATATAAAAAAGTATGATAAATTACTCATATTTTTTTAGAGCATTTATTTTATACCAGCTAAATCGAAAGGGCATCAACAAACACATGCTAAAGGAAAGCTTATTGAGCGCTGGAAGAATGTTGCTCGGCGATTAAGAACCATTGGAGCAATGGAGCTATTAAGTTTGAAAGATATAATAAAAATTCAGCAGAAATAGTGACTAGCAGCTCTCCCATTATTATATCTGGTAAGTTAATTAAATTTAAAAATTTATTTTCAATTAACAGACATAGACCTTTGAATACAAGTACCTATATAAGTAACAAATTCTAGTAGACATATGTAAGGTATGTACTGTTGTATAATATATTAATGTATATTTACAGATGAAGTACGTACTGCAAAAAAATGGCTAGAGACTGATGGACTTAATGCCGATTTTCAATTAGTAAAACAAAACTGGGTATTAACTTATGAGATAAGAAGAAAAGAGAATTTAGATTCACATGACCGTTTTTTATCAAATATTTTTTTGACTTGGCCAATTTTGCAAGGCCCAAAAGGATATGATCTAGTAAGATTTTGTTTTAATTTTATATGTTATGAATTAATTTTTAAATAGTATTTTAAAATAAATATTTAATATTTATATAATATTTTTTATTAGATTATTGAAGATTTCAAAATCGCTTTTCCTGAAACTCATTCCTTGTATTCAGAATGGAATGACTTTTTGAATGCATGGGAAACATTTTCAAAACGCTTAATTAATATTCGAAGAAGCTCTATTAAAGATAAAAATTATATATACAGTAGAACTTCGATTAACCGTCACTGTCGGGACCGGGGCTATGACGGTTAATCGAATAGACGGTTAACGGAAATTTTGCAAAAAAAAAAACGTGTACATACATATACACACATTTATTATATTTTTACGTGTGTGTACTTTAAAAATAATACATATAAAAAAAATATAACATATAAATAAATTATTATAACACATATAAATTATAAACATCTCATACATACCACACTTATTATAAAAAAAAAATCGTCTAATCGCCTAATTATTTTTTTTTTCGGCGATGACCGATGACGGATAACAGAGAGTGACGGTTAATCGAGTGACGGTTAATCGAAGTTCTACTGTAATTATTATTATTGTTACGGTATATATAAAATAAGTGAATGATTTAATACACATGAGAATAGATTCGATAACCGAACCGAAAATAACCCATCTAGAATTATTATATTAGACAATCGAATGGTCGTATTTACAATTTTTTGTACGATGCTTATTGGGAACATGCTCAGAATGCTACCAATCGGGCGCCAACCGGCTACTATCGAATTAATGAAGATACCAATACAGCAGAGATTCCAACCAGAATGCCGCGGCACCCTAGAGTGCCTCGACATTTTTTTAGGGTGCCGCGAAATTGTTTTTTTAGAAAAAACAATTTTATTATAGATATAGCATTGTGAGTAATAAAACGGACTATAATAATATAAAACCTATCATGTTTCATATATTTTGTAGAAATATTACGATGTTTGATCTATTTTAATGTTCATATACCAGTTTCATTGCTATCGCTTCGATGTCTTGTGCTTTTATCTTATCTTAATTTTTGTAAAACATGTATCGACAATAGTAATTTAATAATATAGGTATACTAACAATTTCAGTACAATCAGTGTCGGACCTAGAGTCGTCGAGTCATGAATCATGGTTTACGAGTTACGTCGTCTACGACAATAATTTCGAATTTTTCATTTAAATAATTGATAAAACAGTGAATAGTCTGTTTTTTCAGTTATTCGACTGTTCGTCATTCGTTATCGACACGCTACCTTTTTTATGACACGGCGTCAACACAGAACTGCAAAGTTGTGTTTAATGTTTATACGTTGTACGGTAGTATGGTATGCCCATGGTTTAATAACAAATGATCATACATTGAAATTTAGCCTCAATAAAATATAAACGTGTTTTGGTCCGACTAATGCATTCCACATTTCCACCTTACCCGACCATAATTGTGATTTGTCTCATTCACTGGCCTTTCAATTTTTTTCCAAAAAGCGATTTCATGTTATATACATATATATAATGGAATATAACATTATTGATTAAAATAGGTACACAGGATAGGTAGCTATTGTTAAAAGTTGATCTTCTACAAGATCATTGACCAATTGATTAAAAATATATGTATACTGTATATATTATACTGTTGAAGTAAATCGAAGTAATTAAAAAAAGCTATTCTAACGAAATTTAACCAAACTTGGAAGTCCTTCAATAAATCGAGTTAAGAATTTGCAAAATATCTTAAGTATTTTCTTTATTAACAAAAAAAAAAAAAAAATGCAAAAAAATTATCCAATATTAGTTAAATGGGATGCAACAGTAAGTTATACTTTAACTTCTTAATCCATGCTAATTAGAAGGTCTATTAAAACCTGTAATAGACAAAAAATATAGCCTATAGGTATGTAATTCATAAATATTTCACATCTGTTTATTATCAAAATTTCTCATTTTATAAATCACAACAATAATCCACATATTTGTAGGTAAAAACGTTAATGGTGGGCGTATACTGTTATACATTCTAATAAAGTGTCATATTATCTACCAATGAGAAGAGGTGAATTTGCAGGCTTATTGACGAAATGTGGAGTGGTCGGCAACGAGCAAACACTGAAGATACAAAGTTGATGACGTACCTTATACATATTTATAATTTATCATGTACTCATATTTATATTTAGCCTTGACTCCTATACCGTGAGCTTATCAGTAGGCACTAGGCAGTAATCATTTGGCAAGGGCGTAGTGCACTAGGATAAGTTTACGGCAGGTTACACTTACATAATACATACAACTCGATACAAGACACAAAACACTGTTGTACACAGTGAAGCATGAACTAAGAAATTCGAATGGCTAAGCTAGGCGGTACCCAGTTACAGCTAATAGAACCTCGAAAACTCAAACTACTATAATTTAAATTTCGTTTACTCGAATTTCTCGATAACTCGAAGTCATTTGAGTTGAATTTTGGCTTATAACTCGAATTATTTGACATACGAAAAATTACTGAAATTTTGTATTTTTTGAATTTATAATATTATATATGTATGAACGGTTATACCCCTAGAATCTAAATAATATTGTTGTGGATTAACAATAGTAAATGAAAGGAAAAATCAAAAAAAAAAAAGGTAGTGAACTAACGGCAAGGTCCGAAAATTTTACAGATAGGTCTATTAAATAACAAAAAGACAATCAAAATAGTGCTACCTGCTTTATTTATTATTTTATTTATTACATATTTATTTTATTATTGAATACTTTTTTGAAAGTTGTGTTATAAAAACATATTATGCGTAATATAAATAAATAAAATTATAAAATATTTTCTATAACTCAATTTTTTTTTTTTATTCTCGACTGATTTTATTTATTGAGGTTGCACTGTATTGATAAAATATAAATAGATTTTATTTTACCTATATATTTAATTATGTACACATTATTATAATAGTATTAAATTAATTTAAGAAATCTTTAACACTATGTATTGCTTATACTTTTTTAGTATTATTTTGTCGAACAACTGAACAAGTTAAATTTTAAAATTATCATGCTTATATAGAAATACGTTTTTTTATTGTATATAAGTGAGAAAAATATAAATTATTTTCTATTTAATTATACTGCATAGTGCATTATTCAATTTTATTAAATTATATTAAATAATAGGTATTGATTATAATAATATTTAAATTCACGCGGTATTTGGGCTGTTATCACCGTCAACGTTATCACACATACCGCAAGAAATCAGTCGTAGTACGTCTTGCGACTCCTCCATAGATAATGTATAATATACCGAATTAACTGCTAACCAGATCTATCGAAATTAGCATTTGGCGGTTCTGACTTCTGATTATCTGATTATAGTCACACACGGGCTCAGCACGTCGAACTAAACAGTAAATTAGTAGATATTGTTCTTTGATTCCAGTATTTAATGGATATTGATAACCAACTACGTAGTACGTTATGACTTTACTCAAATAAGTATTAAGTCAAATGATAAATGTCTATAAAATATCAACCATGCGGCATTAATAGTGTAAATCTTAAATTTACTTAGATATCCTGATTTGCAATGTTCCGTTTACATGTTGCAACTGAAACTGTGTTAAAGCTTCGCGGGGTAATCTGAACTCAATTTTTGTAGTAGTGTAGTTCTGTTTTATCACTGTCTATCACCAACAACTATAATTTGTTATTAATTCTTATTATTACAATAAATACACGTGGACATGGATAATTAGTAAGTAGCAATTTTGATTAAAAAAGTTAGTTTTAACTCTTTTATTGTACATTAGTACCTAACCTAACCTTGTCTAATAAAAAATGTTACTCTATTTTTAAAATGTTTTTATCAACAGAAAATATATTACAATATTTAATTAAACAAATTGAGTAATATCTACATAGTATTTATATGAAAAATACAAAATAATAGTTTTTATTATATTTTTTTGTTAATCTTGTACCTCATTACTTATTCTGTATTCACTATTTTACAGTAAATAGACAGATATTGATAAAGATTGTCTTAATATTATCCTAATTAAAAATACCAATACTGAATAAAATATTTCAATTATTAAATATTTTTTTTAACATTTAAACTATTCAACTATTTACATATTGATTTTTTATTGAACTTTTTTAATTATTTTATTACACTTTCAATAAATTTTGGACAACTATACAATTTTTAATATTGTATGAACTAAAATTTTGTGTATCGTTGAGTACTAATTATTAGTACTGGTGATTGAAATAGCTAAATTGTCAAATTATTTTAAATTTTTATTGAATCATTATGTTCTGGTACTATTCATTAGTTAGTAATATAGTTCATCTTTATAATTTTGCATACTTTATTCTTTGTTTATAATATAAATTATAAACATATTATAACTTATTTCATAGATAATATAAATAATCTCTTTTTAATATAAAATATTTGAATGTTGAAACCAGTGGCTGATTGAATGACTGAGATACCAGGAAATTTCTCGGTGGGCCACTGTTCATATAAAATTTATATTTATTAATATTATTATTGTGAAATTATAAATTAAAATATTATCTAATAAATAATAAATAATAAGTATATAATATTATTATTAAACATAAAAACCCAGATTTCTGATTATTTTTAAATACGGGATCGTTATATACTAAGGACATCTAAAATTATGATTTTCTAAGTCCACCACTGGTTGAAACTATTAAATTACTTAATAGGTAATAATTTAATGAAAACAATAACTTGTATACTTAGATATTGCCCCATGACAACTTTATTAGGGGGTGTGCTGACCGGATAGCTAGGATATTAAATAAATGTAATGTATACAGATGTATAATTACAAATTTTTATTTTATTATTAGTTATAATATAATATATGTTCAATAATAAGCATTAATAAGCTGCAATGTATCTTGTTAAAAGTATAAATACTTTGTAAAACCAATCCGAAAAAAATATTTAGTTCATTCAAGTATTATGTACACTGTAGTTCAAAGGCAATTTGTAATATTATATACATTTTTGAACACACACAATGTTTTGAAATCTTCAATTACTAGTAAAAATAATCAGTTACATTAACACATTTTTTGACGATGACTAATAAGTAATAACAGGGTGATAATTAATTGAGTTTCTTCTATATTATTCTAAACTTCTGCAACTTAAATTTATTTACTGTTTTCTGTCATAAGTACAGCATAAAATTTAGGTAAACATACTATTTTTACATTATAACATTTTTTTTTTTAAATACTTGTTAAAAACATTTATAAAGGGTTCTTTTAAGGACCATCATCAGTTTTTTTCAAAACTTCTAGAAAAGCTAATATAAATTTTTTTGTAAACTGAATTAGATAAAAAAATGTATGTATTTTTTATTTTAATGTCTACTATCTAATAATCAGTAACTTATATAAAATCAAATACATTAATCTTAAATTGTCTCATGTCTGACTATTATTCTTGTTTATTATCAAATACTGGTGTATTCAAATTTAATTATTTTCACAAGTTTTATTTTCTTTATTCCTTGCATCAGATAAAAATAATTATCATCATTTTGGTCTTTTCTGCATTTATGTTTAGTCCTATTATTTTTGCAGTTTACCCTAGGGTTTTGATAGTTCTTACAGCTATATAGTAAAAATACAGAAATAAAACTAAGAAATAAAAACCAAAATATTAATATAATCTAAGAATTAGTGTCATCGCAAAATATAATATATAATCTATTAGCTGTTTTAGTGTGTTATCAATGTTATAAAAATTATGTATAAATATATTATACATTCAAACATTAAACAATTATATATTTATTTTGTCCAATTTATTACAAAAACATTAATTTATTTTTCCAATTCACGTAGATACTAAAGGTTTTACAATATGATGGTTATAATTATTATGTACTATAATCATATATTAAGTACACACATATATATTAATATTATATTAAAAATGTAGGTATACCAATGAGCATAATAAGTAAACTATGTAATGTAGGTAATATGAGTTATCATCACTCTGTATATAAAAATTAGTTTAATTTTCTATTACATAAATTTTAGTATCAAAAATTCCCTATAGATATAATATTGCTTTCAAAAATTAAAAATAATGTCTGACAAGCTTATCTGTCAAGATTTATGGTTGAAATTGAGGAAATTTGAAGATCATATAAAAATACACTATTAATCATTATGCTTTAAAAAATTGATTTCAAAAAAAAAAAAAAATTAAAACAATTATGTTTAAATTATGACACTAATATGACATAACAATATTTTTAAAAATGATTGCTTGTACAATTAGGTTTTGATAACCATAAACATTGTTATTTAACATGATTATTATTTATTATTTATATTATCATTTTGGTTTTTTTTTCATTGGTTATATTTTCCAGGATTCATATTATAATAGGTTATCTGCAAATACTGAATCTGATTCTGGTCTATTGGTACTCTAGTTGATTCTACTAGTATCCATCTAACTCATATAACTATTTTCTCCAATGCTATGTTAAATTATAATAAATATTACTCATAATTAAAATACTATATCAACTAAGAATACTTCAGAAATATAATTTTGTACATATTATATGTACATGATCCTTTTTCCACTATACACCTTAACCTAACCTAAACCAAGAATGATAGTGTAACTCTCAAATTTTTAAATTAGGTTGAAGTATATCAAGTGTTATTATGTAAAATAATAAGCCATTACAAAAACTTAACTTTCTCAATTTTAGTAGTCCACATATAAGAAACCATATGTGGAGCTGTGCAGTAGTTGCAGTGAAATAAATAGGTCGCAAAAATTCTTCTAAATGGTTTAAATTAAAAATTTTTCAAAGTCAAAATGACCAAATTCTAATAAGTTGGCATGAAAGTGCTTGCTCCAACTTTTATTAATCACATCTGATAAAGTCCTAACTTGTGCTCCTCTATATAAGTCTTTTCCCTACTATGCTTAGTTACTCCCTTCTGGTGGTAAAAGGATATGCACTGTTGTTCCCACGTTCCACCTATTCTCGGGTTAATGTGTACATAAAATGATCTTATTGTTTTATAGCATCCTAATGACATACCTTCCACACTCAAATCTTTTAAATTAATGGATGTAGCTGTACCCATCTGATTAAATCTACTGTGTAGTTTTTTATACATATACCTGGCATTTATTCCTTTGTGGAATGTGTTTTATAATACATGAAAATATATTTCTTACTTATATAATTAATATATATTGATAAGTACCAGAACATACCAGGCCTCTTAGTTATATAAAGTATTTTACTTTACTCTCACTTGTTGTATTGTATAATATTAAAGCACATAGTGTAATATAAATACTATTTAAATTCAGTTTATTTAATTTCTATAATTAGCTTTTCTTTTAAGTTTTGAAGATATATAATAAATTCTTGTTGTACACAAGAAAATCTTTTTTTTTTCCAATTGGAAAAAAACTTTCCAAATGGTAAGTATGCTGTATTTTGAGCATAACAAGATGAGATAAATGTATCTTATTACTGTGGATTTTAGTTTCTTAATTATGTATGAACAAAGTCAAAGTGTGTATAATATTATAATATATCATAAATATAGACTAAACCTTTAATTTCTTTTACATATTTGTCTTATGTATCCTCCCTACCCCACTGTAAAAAGCTGAGCATGTCACTGTCATTATGTATAAATTTTAAAATCTACATTATAATTATAATAATAATTCATATTGATGGCTCATTGACATAATACTATTAATAATGTTACAAAAAATACAAATAAAGTTATTATTGTGTTAGTTAAGTAATATTAACTAGACAAATCTTTCCTGTATGAATATTATCATTAGCTTGTAATATTTGCATGGGTATTTTATTTTATCCAATGATTTTGACTTAATAATTTAAATTATCTAGACCTCTTTAATTTAAAAATAGTTTCAATACCTAACTGTATGCTTTTTACATTTATATTAATTATACTTTACCAAAATAATAGTATACCTTTTATTTTAAACAATAATTTATAGTTTAATATTTGTGTTAAATTAGATGTTATAAACTTACCAAATAAAAATCTTTGTAAAGTTTCTAAGTACAATTAATTTGTAATAAAAGTATTTTACAGGTATATTATGGGAAAAGTAAAGAGAAGAAGTCTGCGACAGCAAAAACGACGACAATCTAAGAGATTAATTAAAAAAAAATATATATCTATAACACCAACTATGGATATTAATGAAACAAAAATAAGTGCTGTTGAGCCTATTGAGATTATCGAGAATAATGATAATTCACTTTCAGCAGAAACACCAATAGATGTTCTTAAAAGTATGAAAACTGTTTCCTCAAAAGTAACAGAACCAAACATTACAAGTGATGAAATCATAGATATAACTAATATTACTGCTGAAGATATTGCATTTGAAAATTTCGAAACTGTAAATAAAAAACCAGTCCTGAACATCAATAATGATGAAATAATAGATATTACTGATATTACTATCATAAGTGATAAATATGAAGATCCCCCTGGACAATTTCCAAGTGATAAAATATTGCATGATGATGATGATGATGATGATGATGATGATGATGATGATGATGTTCAAATCATTGATGTTCCTACTCGTGACTCTATTGAACTTATTACTATATTGGATGACAGTGATGAAGAAAATACATTAAATCAAAATTCTATTAGAAAACCAATTAGTTTTAATTCTGTACATGAACGTCTAGGTAATTCTACAAAAGGCACAATTAAAAGCTCATATAACAGCCCTTTACGTAACCGTAAAAGGAGATGGGATGAAGAAAATTTAGCTAGATTGGATAATAACTTAGGAGCATTTGTTATTGATAAACAAAAAATTTCTAATGACAAACAGAATCTCTCACAAAATTTTATCACATTGAAACCAAAAGCGGTTAAAATTTCTAAACCACATTTAGCTTCAACAGTTACAACTCCCAGCGCTAATAGAAAGCTACGTCCAATCATCATCGATGGTTTAAATATTGGACATGCGTGAGTTTTCATTCTTAAATTTTGTAATTATTCTATTTCAATGAATATAGTAGTAGCTTATGAAAACATTAGATTGAAAAATGTGAATATTATGATTTTAGCAAAATTACTTAGAAAAATTCTAATTTTATATTTTTAATCAGTTTTATTATATTATTATGAAAATGTTATATTCTAACTTGAATTTTTGACTATTGTATAAATATATTAAATTATTTAATTTATTTTTTTAGACATGGTTCAGGAGTGTTTTCAGGAAAAGGCATTGAATTATGTATACAATTTTTCACTGATCTAGGACATAAAGATATAGTAGCATTCATTCCACAACATCGACAGGGACCACCTGGGTCTGAATCAAATACTATTTTAAATAAGTTGGTTAAAAAAGGACAAATTTGTTTTACACCTAGCAGAAAAGTCCAAAACTTAAGGATGACATGTTATGATGACCGGTAGGTAACTTAAATTAGTTTATTAGTAAACTTATTAAATTTAGTTCATAATTGTTGGTTTTTTAATTGAAATGTGCTTTTTATAAAGGAAATTATATTTAGGTCAGCGGTTCCCTACCTTTTTAGTTTCGCGGACCATTAATTTTGTAAAAAAATATTTGAGGCCCATCCATAGCATACCTCCTATATACGTTTTCCTAAAATTATAATATATAACATAACATATATGTCATATATTATATATATGTCATATATTATATATATATAGATAGTTATTAGGAATAAAAAACTTAATTCAACTTTATCACAAGATAAACAATTTAATGTGATTTTTGACATTGCTTGTTCTTCACGAGAAAGTCAATATTTGGATTAAAACTTGTTACTTATACACTATAGTTAAAATTGATTAAATATTATTATGATCAAAAATATAACAAAAAATATATAATAATATTATTTTAAATATATACAATGTTTAATATTATACTTATGGCTCGCGGCCCAGTACCATGCTGCAGCCCATGGGTTGGGAACCGCTGATTTAGGTTAACCCCAAATAGTAAAATTAATTTATATTTTATATGTAATTATTTTCATAGCTGTTTTATCCAAACATTGGAAATTTAACTAAGAATAAAATTAGATACATAGTTTTTTTTAAAAAATGTTCTCAATAATAAAAATTAAGAATGCCTTTTATAATATGTTTATGAATTTATTTGACAAATGTTAATTAATAATTTAATTCTTATTATGTAAAAATATAACTCAATATTATTATTATAGATGTTATCTTAAAAACTATATTTATCACAAAATTTGTTATTTTTATTTCATAGAATTATACTCAACTATGCCCATCAATGTGGTGGAGTAGTTGTTTCAAATGACAATTATCGAGATTTATATGATGAAAGTGAAGCATTCAAAGAAATCATTGAAAATAGGTAAAATAATAATTATTTATTTTTCATACACATACATAAATGTGAAATGTAAAAATAAAAATTTAATATAATTATATAGTTAATATTTGCTTGTAATAATATTTTTAAAATACTAATGTGTATAAATATTTTAATAAAATTATGTTTATTAAGAAATTACAATCAAAACATATTAAACTAATGAATAAAGTGTAACTCAAAACATTTTTGAATTTCCTTTTTTGTATAAATTTGAAATATTAACAATTAAAATGTATTTGTTGTCTTTTTTGACTAATTGTATATATTTATTATAAATTGGCATATGTATATTATTAATTTACTTTTGATTTCTAGGCAAGTAATGGTCACATTTGTCAGGGATCAAATAATTGTTCCAGAAGATCAATACAATCGAAAATCAACTATCCGGTCTCTTTCAGATATTTTACGTTTTCCTGAATAAATTTAGCTAAAAGTGATATTTTAATTATAAATAAAAATGAAATGTAGTTTATTCTTATAATTTTTTATTATTATTATTATTTTTATTATTAATACCTAATTCAAGTTTAATGTTAAAAACATTTGTAATACAAATTAAATAATATTTAATATATTATTATTTAAAAACAATTTATATAAGACTGATAATATTGTTAATAACATTATAAAGAAAAAAAAATTATGGCTTTAATTTACTGTTTTAAAATACTACAAAAATTACAATCATACATAATGAGTTATTCATTATATTGTAATGTTTTATTTATACTTTCTAAGTCATATTGTAAATAATAATTTACAATTTTAAAAACCATAAAAATGTTTTTAAATACTAAATAATTTATATTATTTTATAAATGATAGAGGACACAATTTTTAAAAAAAAATTGGCCAACTGCTATATATGTATTTAGTGTATCTCACCATTAAGAAAATTACTGTCATGAATCTGTTTAATGTTTAATTTAATCATTTAATAACAAATGTATAGCTTTCTGCCACATGAGTGGGAAAGGGAATTGCTGCTGAAGAGAGATTAATCTTGGAACCACAAATCCTTTCAACTATGTTGCCCAGTGTTCACAGTCCTCAGATCAACTTAACCTATGTCTGCAGATCTATATTATATATTTATATGGTATGATTTTAACTATAAATTTAATATTTGCCCTGTACAAGTAAAACATGTATAGCTCTTTTACTGATAACATCTTATCCAACTATTGATCAACAAAATATACCCACAATTTCTTTATGTATAAACAAAAAACTAATACATAACAAATAAAATTTTTTCTAGAAATATTACCAACTAACATTTAAAGTTATTTATTCATATATAATTATCAATTTCTTATAATCAAGTAAATAGTAAATTGTATTATTATAAAAACTTCAGAAGTTCAGAACATTGAAAAACGTAATTGGCATCTTAACAGTTTCAACTACGATTTGATACATTCTGACTTCTGGGGATTCAATGTGATTTTTCTTATCAATAGAAATCAATAGGTACCTATATTTCCAAATTGATATAATATAATTATTAATTTAAAAGATTGACTACCAATCTATTTTTAATTATTTTTCAAAGTTGATAGTTATTACTTATTAGTTATTACAGTCTTGATTATAAATCACTTTTATAATAAATAATAATGAATACATTTTTTTACTCTAATAGTTTTTTATTCTCTAAGTAACCATCTACAAAATCTAAAGAAAATTCATCAATAATCTGTCGAGAACTCCAGAAATACAAACTAAACCTATTATATCTCACAGTACCTACTTTATTAACATTTTGAATTCAAATGTCTGTAAAAAAAAGTTGTACATATTTATTTTTAATATTTTAATATTCCTATTTTAAGTAAAAGTTCAACTTATAAGACTTTGTATAGGTATATTTAATATTCAAACTATTTTACCAAGATTTATATAAAAAAAATAAATAAACATTAGTTGTAGATATAGAGTGAACCTCAATAGGTACCTCATTATTCGTCATTGAACAGGTGAATAGGTCACTTTAATATAATAATATATTATTCAATAATCTATGGCTAACAGTAATATTCGTATGAAACGACCAGCATAATAATTCTAATAATTTTCATTAGCATTTAGCAAAAAATTAAGCCAATGGACGACGGGTAACAATAGACAAACCAGTGACCAGTCCTCAATAATTGTTTATGTATTTCTCTATATTTCTTGGTGGTCTTTATGGTATTATGCTCACTCAGTTTTTTGAGAAAAGGATTTATGATTGAATTTAAATTAATATCTACATCCATTACATTAACATGCGGGTTAAGATATTTTAAGCATTGGGCGGCAAATTTTGGAGGGGGCCGAAATTGTATTAAATATTTATTTTGTTTTTGAGTAATTAACTTATATAATTTTTGATTTGTTTTACTATTTCAACATTTTGAATGGTATATTTGAATTTGTTTAATTTTAGTAAAGTAATATTTATTTTTTTAACCAAGAAGTCATTGAATGTCGATGACGACAACAATTGTGCTTTATTTTAGTTTTAGTTTATTAAATTTTTTGTAGAGTAGGTATAGTCAGTATAGATATAGATAATACATTTCACTTTATAAAAACATTCTCTTTATAGGAATCGTGATCGGTAAGTATGGGTTCATACACATATCTATACTAAAATATTACAACGTTTATATGACAATTCGGTTCTATGATTTATCCATTTATAAACGAATGAGTTGATAGTCGTCCATCCACCATTAAGTTAAGTACGCGTAAATTATTGATTTTATAAAGTTTTTCTTGTAGGTATATATTTTTACTTTATAAAAATAAGTAGCAAATATTATATTTGAATCGGAACGTTATATTTTTAAATTTAACTTCGAATAAAAAAAATTGCATATTATTGAGAAGATACATTTATTTAAGGATATTTACTAATAGAAAAGTCATTTTTTTTAGAATTGGGGTTGTGAATTTAATTTGGTATAAAAGCGGTAAATACTAAATTGTTAAATCTACCCTTGTTATTTGTTAACCTATTCAATGACGATTGAAGAATTACTCTCGACTCCTATTGAGTGGCTGAGTCCTATGTTTTGGTTATTGTACATCAGATTAGTTACCTTTCTCGTTTTGTTATTAACTCGATTCGAACAAATTGACTTTAGAGCTACTATGTTTTAGAATAAAAGGTTGTGATCCGGTACGGACAGACTTTATTATCTCTGGTAAATTCGGTAAGATAGTGTATTATCTAAAGTTATTACAACGGTTTACGACGAAAATATGAAATGCACTATACAGCCAATACAGGCATAAATCATAATGGTGTCATAAAATGTGTAGTGCCTACAAACGTTTGTAAATACTAAATAACATAAAATCTATAAATCATAATTCTAAATTAAATTACAGTGAAATCTCTAACAAATATTTTATTTAAAAAATGAGAGTTATTGTCAATATTAGTCAGTTATATAGCAGTGATTAGTCAATCGTCTGGATTGAGACAAACTTCATTTGCTCTTCAGTCGTCAATATTATTTTATTTTCCCTGCGTTTTCATCATGACCAATACATACTTACCTTATTACAAGTTCTTCAAAGATCCATTGCTTATTAAAGCTGAACTTATTTATGCCTTACAAGAATCCAGAGATAGATGTTTGCATCACAGTACAAAGTTGTAAGTATTCTTTTTAAAGCCACTATTCATAAATGTAATGGCTAAATCATAACATCTATATTAACAATATAAAATAATTTGATTCCTTTTTTATAGTCTATCAGAACTAATGATAACTTTAAAAAGTATTCCACCATATTTTGAATTTGAAAATGAAAATAATGAATTTATACGTTTTGAGTTAGAACCAGCATTCACAAATTTAGAAGATTATTTGGTGTATTTTAAAGCACGTGCATATTTTGATCTTGAAGATTATCCCAGGTAATTTTAAATATCTATCTTATATGTTAATTAATTTTAATATATTTTTTATTTACTTTATTTTTAGCTGTGCACACATAGCAAAACATACTAATAACAGCAAATCTATGTTTTTGCATTATATGGCCAGATATTTAAGCATGCATAATGAATGTATATATGAACGAACTAACTTGTTTGATTCGTTTAAACCAGTTAATATGCGAGCATATATGGAACTATTAGATGAACTATTAATACTGAATGTTTATCGCAGTGAAGATGATTCTGATGAAGAATCTGAAGAAGAATCACAATCTCAAGAGACATCTGATATTGACACAGTTAATCAAAAACACTCTGTACAACAACTAGAAGATGATTCCACTCCTAAAGGAAGACGATGCAGTAGGCGACCACGTAGTCTAAGAATTGAAAAAGCTAGTTCAAATACTTTAGGAAAAAAAAATAAAATTACTAAACGCAACATCATTACTAAAAAGGTCAAAGTTACAACATTAGCCGCTCAATCTGAAAATAATATGTCTGCTGGTGATTATAAAGAGGCTCGAATTAAACGAGAAGATCCATATTTGTTATGGCTTACAGCTGTCATGTTAAAAAGAATAGATAGATCTGATGAAGCTATAGATTTATTGGTCAGATCATTACAAATTCAGCCATGTTTCTGGGGGGCTTGGATAGAGCTAGCCACACTTGTAAAGGACTTACATATGGTAATTACTAAAAATGTTTTATTATAAAATACTTTATCTGTTAAAACAGTTTTTACAATTGTTTATTTTGATTATTCATTGTTTAGCTTGATGCATTGAACTTACGACTCAATGAAAGTAAAGAAAATCATTGGATGCATCTTCTTTTTATTGCACATATGTATGTTGATTTTCAAATAACTGACCGAGCAGTAAATATATACAATGATATTTTGAAGCTGGGCCATACTGTTTTTCAAGATTGGACATATATTCAAGCTCAATTTGCTATTGCACATCATAACAAGCGGGGTAAATATTAATTGACTAATTCAATTAGCTTATTAACATCAATTTTTAATTTTTGTACAGAAATTGCACATGCAATAGTATCATTTAAAACTGTTATGGAAATGGATCCATTCAGGATAGATAATTTAGATCTATTATCAAATCTTATGTATGTCTGTACCAGTACTGATGAACTCGTAGTTTTATCTAAATATGTAGCATCTATCGATCGTTACCGTCAAGAAACTTTATGTGTCCTTGGTAAGATATTTTTGTAATAAATAGTTCATGGAATTTCTTTAAGAAGGCTTTTAGTCAATGTCTTGTGAAAATGTTAAATTTTTACTTTACATTGTAACAAGTATAATTTAATATAATACTAATAAACAATATGAATGATTTTATGTATAATTATTTAGTAATATAAATTTAAACATTAAAAAGCACTACAAAACTAGAAAACTGATTTAATTAATTTTTTTAAATTTAGTATAATTAATTTATACTAGGTGTTCTCTTTTTGTATTTTAAATTGCTTTAAAATCTGTGCTGCAATAATAAATAAAATATTTCTTTAGCAATACCAATTTGAATATTTTGTAATAAGTTTAAAAATTTGTTTTTAGGGAATATGTACAGTTTAAAATGTGATCACGCCAAATCAGTTTTGTATTTTAAAAAAGCTGTGAGAATTAATCCATTTAATGTAACTGCTTGGACTTTACTGGGACATGAGTACATTGAAATGAAAAATTCTTATGCTGCCATTATCTCATATCGTCAAGCCTTAAGTAAGTAATATCTTATTAACATTATAAATGATAAATAAAAAAACTAATTGTTTCTTCTTAGATTATTCAAAAATATTATTAATTTTACAAAAATTCTTTTAGTGACTGAATATATTTTATATATAATAGATAATAATAAAAACAATATAACCATTTTATTGGTTGCTAATAAATCATTTTGAACATTTATATTTTAGTTATTTTGTTATTTAAATATATAAATTTACTTTAATATTTTTGATTGAATAAAATAACATACATATTAAATACATTATTTTAGGTTATATCATTTGATACAATTTATACAAGAAATAAATGAATAATAAACCATTAAGTTTTAATATAGTTATTTACATTAAAAAACATTAAGATTTCAATTTTTTTAAATGAAATATTTTTTTTTACTAAAGGATGAATTTAAAATAAAGCATTTAATAAATTTAAACAAAGGATACCTTTTTACTTATTATTTTAATGTTTTACTTATTTATTATATTTCTAATAACTATTAATAAAATTATTTTTGTCCACAGAAATAAATATAAGAGATTACAGAGCTTGGTATGGTCTAGGCCAAATTTATGAATTAGTAAAGTTGCCAAATTATGCATTGTTTTATTTTACTCATGCACGAGATTTAAGGCCTAGAGATTATCGTATGTTAGTTTCATTAGGAGAAATGTTTGAACGTGCTGATCGTATTTTTGAATCAATGGCTTGTTTATATAAATCCTTATTTTACGATACTGATGGAACAATATTGCTAAAACTTGCAAAGTATGTTAAACATAATTTGTTTATAATTTAATTACCTTAAATATGTATGTTATAATAATTAAATGTTTACAATTTTATCATGTAGTTATAGTTATATTTTAATACAGGATATTACTACAAATTGAGTATTATATTAGATATTGTCTAGTGTTTATATCATATTTTCATCATATTCAGTGACAGTATCTGAAATTTTTCTTAGATAAAGCCATCTCTTGAGGTTAATTAATTTTATTAGAGTTTAATGAAATATTAATTAAGAGTTAGAGAGTGTTGCCACTACAGAATACACCAGTTATATTACAAACAACATTTATAATAACAATTAACAACATAGTGTTATGATATTAATGTTATATTATTTAACTTTATTTTGTATGCATTATAAATATTAAATTATAAAAAATTATGTGCAAATGATAAATAACAACAAATAGTTATTTTTTCTTATAATTGTGGTAAAATTTTAAGGAGTGTCCAAGGTTGGATCCTAATGTCACCATTGATTGTATAATTGAAATTATTTTTAATACTTTCTATATTAAAAAATGTTATTTAAACATAAAATTAAGTACACTTTAGACTACTAAGGACTTCTGTTTATACTAACTTTTCTAAATAATGTATTAAACAGATAAAGTATAAGAAAAAATGATTCTAGTATATTTTGTAATTTTGGTAACACAGTGAACTAAACTTTCCTTTGGAAGTAGTAAGCATTTTAAGTCTTGACATTGATAAAATAACCTTAATAACTATTATTTTAAAATATTTAATCCAAATGTTTTATTTTTAATTAATAGTAACCTTATAAAACCCTATAATATTTATTTTAATTTAACCTTTTTTTTTCTAACATTTAAAAATTTTTTATATTAAAATAAAACAATCATTATTGTGAATTTTAAACATGACTTTAAATATTAAATGTTTTATTAGTGTATAATATTTATATACATTTTATAGATTTTATGATAAATATGGTGATACTGGTAATGAATTAGCTCGTGAACATTTTAATATGATGAATAAAAGAGCTTTGAAAACTGGAATCAAAAATAGAACTACTATTGAGTTAAACTTGATATTAAGCAAAATATATTTATACTTGGGACATCATTACATGGATTTACATTGCTGCGACCGAGCTATTTCTTTTGCTGAAAAATGTCGTGATTTGTGGAAGGATACAGAGACAAATAATTGTCAATCCTCTATACTAAATAAAGTATAAATTTAATAATTTATTTTATTATATGAAATATTGTATTTATATTTTATTTTCAAGGTGTTAGAACATGTTGATGCTTTATTAGCTGAAATTGAAATTAGAGCAGGTTCAGATTGCTCTCTCGCCTCAACATCTAATACCCTTAAAGCACGCAGATTTCTGTTTGGCCTTTAATATTTGACTGTACAAAGTTCAAACAAAATATCAAATGTAAGATAAAACTTATATTGTTAAATTAAATATTTTAATATTCGTATTAGTTACTAAATTTTTATTTTTTTTTTTATTTTTATATAACATTGTCTGAATAATAATGTTTAGTTATAACATTTTTTTTCTAGTTGTTATACATCCTGTTAAAACGGGATCATTTTTTTTTTTAAGCACTATCTTGACAAACTTAAAACATGACATTTTTTGTTCTGATTTTAGAAGATAGTCCCATTTTAATCCCGTTGTCTGCATTTTATTATACTTATTATGTTTTATTTCTGTTTGTAAAACAAGTCTGTTCATGGGAAATAATAATATTTTTATTATTTAATACTCGTATTCAATTACAGTAAAACTCGATTATAACATTCTTTAAAAGGGCAACTTTAAGAGTGTCTTAAACAGGAAAGTGTTTAATGCAACTAATGCAAGAATTTAGTAAAATTTAATATTTTAAATATCAAGTTTATTTACATATATTTACATACATAATTATTATTATTGAATATAATTTATTACAATTTTTTTTATATTTAATTAAATTTAAAATAAATATATTTATACATACATATTTTAAATAATAATTATTTTTTCCATTTTATTCTGTTTAATTTATATTAATAAAATTAGGTATCTATTGTTGTTTGCTTAAGATTGTGAAAATGTGTTTTAGCAGTGAAGTTTTCTGTTTTTTTAACATAACCATACGCGTAGTCAAGGGGTGTGCAGGGTATGCAGTATACTTAATATACTTTTAAATTCTGAAATAAGTCATTATGTATAATATATGAATATGATACAGGTAACCAGATAATTTGTAGTTTTTTAAAATAATTTTGTGTTTTGTGACATGTTACTTAGGGGAACGTGGGGCAGAATGGGGACGTTAATGTATCAGAAGCTATAACTCACTCAAAAATTGTGATTTTGATTTGAAACTTGAACTGTGTAATCTTTAGGATATGGTTATTAATATGTGAGCATTTTTTAAACATTCATTTAAGTCTCATAGTGTTAAAGGTCAAAATAGGTTTAAGTATAATTTTCCCGTTTTGCCCCATACATGGGGCAAAATGGGGACGCCTCTCAAATATTATTTATTTAACATAAATATTATTTCATTTTACATATATGCAAATAAGTTTAACTACTTGAACTTTTTTTTATATAAATAACTTGTACATACATACATAGGAATATATTTTAATATAATAATATTGTACAAATCAATAACAAATAATAATAAGTGCTTGTAAATTTAAAACACATAAACTTTTACATTTATTAAATAGGTACATTTTATTTAAATACTAATTATAGATGTAGTACCTACACAAGTAGTCAAACTTAAAAATTTAATTAAAAAATTAACACATTTAAAATAATTAAGAGCAAAGTTCACAGGTTAATAAGGCATCCTTATCTTTTTCATCAATGCCCGCACAAAGGCAGTGGGCCCATAAATTGCATTTGGAACATTGAATCCACCCATCGACTGATATTGAATATGACTCACCACAGTATAGACAGTTCTCATCTACATCACTGGACACTGGTTCCTTAGTTTTTACTCTCCTTATTTTTTTTGTTTTATTTTTATTCTTAAACAATGAACGCTTTGCAGTCTGTGGCTTTGAGTTTGCATTTGCTGCTAAAAGTTCATTTTTATAAGGGGAATCAGTAAGGATTGCTGTTTTACCTCTTCTCTTAGAACAACGTGCAGTGGTTTTTGAACTTTTAGGTATTGGCTGTATTTCCTCAGGAGAAGACACAGGGAATACTTTCTCAGCATTGTTTTGCCAATAGGAACATCCTGGTGAGTTTTGTTTTGTTGTTATATCTGTTGCAACATTCTCTTTTTGGCTTGGATCTGAAACTTCTACTTGAATTGTATTCATATCTGTAATATTGAGTTGATTATTAACAGAAATTGTATCTCCCAAATCAATGTCTGTAGCTGCACTGGCTAGAAAATCATGCTCATTGAATATGTTTGAATCAACTGGCCAAATGCCAGTTGCCCTGAATGCGTTAATTGCTGTTGACATAGTTGATGCCTTTATATAAGCTTTTCCAAACAGTGAAGCAATTTGAAATTGTGTAACTACCCTGTGCTCATTAGCATGTTCCCTCAGCCATTTTTTTACTTCATCACAATAATAGACACTAAGCGGTTTCATAAATCCTACGTCTAAAGGCTGAAGCTTATGAGTACAGTGAGGCGGAAAACAAAGCAGAATTACACCAGCATCCCTAGCTCTATCAATTAATTGTATAGATTTGGTGTGAGTAGAATGACCATCAAGTAGAAGCAAAACTTTATTTGTTTGAGATGCTCTTGAAAATAATATAAATTTGTCAAACCATTTCAAAAACAAATCGGTTTGGATCCACCCACTTGGGTGCACTTCTGCCCACGACCCAGGTGGTCCACCATCAATAAGCTCTGGTTTAGCCCTAACGCGAGGAAATATAAGCATAGGAGGCATATAAGATCCATCTGCACCCATACATATTTCAACTGTAATTGTTTGGCCTCTTTCAGCAGATGTTAAAGTACCTACTTGACGGCGACCACGGCATGCAATTATTTTGCTTTGAGATTTTGGGACACACGATATTCCCGTTTCATCAACATTAAATATTTGCGAAGCAGTTAATTTGTACTTATCAACAACGTCTGTCAGCAAAGCATAAAACTTACCCACTGCTACTTGATTGAAACCAGAAGCTCTTGCCGCTGATGTAGCTTCAGGTTGGCGTAATGATAAGTCAGCATGTCGTTTCATAAATCCATACAGCCAGTCTTTTCCAGCCTTTAAGTTGTCTTTTTCAAAAGGATGCATTAAATTATTCTTTTCTGCAAGTTGGAAAGCTAATCCTCTTAATTCTAAAGATGTTAGTCCAAATAAACGGGCCTCCATAGATTTAATGTATTCAACTAATTCAATCTCTTGTTCGCTGTTGAAAACTGTTTTATACTTCCCAAGTCCTTATAAAATAATAAATATTATATATATATATATATATATATATATATATATATATTATATTGTAAATGTAAATACTTAAATAAGATTACCTTTACTAAAAGCATTTGTTTTATTTCCAGATTCTAAGTAGACTTTCACTCTTCTTTCAAGAGTTGACTGTGGAACATCAAATGCTGATGCTGCTTTTCTATACCCCATCTCTTTGTTTACACAAACCATAATGGCATTTTTCATAGACTCTTCTGTCCACGATTGGCGTTTAGTTTTTCTAACATAGTTTCTAACCATTCTATAAATATGGTAATATATCGTTTCAAAATTATGAAATTAAAACATTGGGGCAAAACGGGGACGTCCCCATTTTGCCCCGAACAGGTCTATCCCATTATGCCCCAATGAGTACACTTACCTGCAGCCGTTGTTCGTAAACACAACAATTAATTTTTTTAATAATTAATATTATTAAAATAATCTTAAGAACATTTGCTATAAAAACAGTGAAAACAAATTTATGTAACAATAAGTAAACCATAAAAACATTTCGGAAAAAAATATCAGTTTATTATATCAATCAGATGATAAGAGGCATTTGTGATGATTTTAATTTATTACTGATAAGATAATTGATATGTGAACTTGAAATTTTTGTCACATGATATTGTTAGCCCAAGGATTCTATATATTAAGTTTTTAAATCAGTATGACCATTATAAGACATAGATATTGGAATGTCCCCGTTTTGCCCCATGGCCCCGTTCTGCCCCACGTTCCCCTAATACAATACACAGTATAATACAGTAAATTTAATAATAATATTTTTACGTGGGAGGGAGGGGGTTAAAATTTCCAAAATTACCTGCACTCTTTGAACATGAGGACTCATTTTAATTATCTCACAATTAATAAAATTTATTATTATATGTTGAATAAAAAGAGCGTCTTAATCGATGAAATAGAAAAAAATCAAAAATTTTAACAGGTAGTTTTTTTCATTAACTAGTATAGTTATTATCTAGGAATTAATGGAGAAAAGAGAAAAGCTTCTTAAACGAGTTTTACTGTATTATTAAAACCACAGTTTTTTATGTGAAAAACATAGAATGCCAAAAAATAGTTGAGAAATATATTTTTGGTAGTGTAGTGATCACTGCGATTGATACCACGATTATTATTGAAACGACATAGTCTTGAGACGTATTGACTATTGAGGAAGGTAGGTATTTGAAATAAATGAACACTTCACTTTATAGTTTATAAATGAAAATGAATATTTCATTAATACAACTTTAAAACACTTAAAAGAATCTAAACCTTACTGTCGTAAACTCGTACGTAATTCTACAGTAATTCTCTACTAATGCTAGGTGTTCTATTCGTATGTAAGGGTTCTGTCAGTGACGTACGTTGACGTGATTTTTTTACATCCTGTTAATGTCTACTACGAATTTGTATGCATATATTGAAAAAATAGTTGTTTTCATTTATGATCTAGGCTTTACCTATTCACTATAAATGACTGTTAATATATCTACACTAGTTGTCAGCATAAATTATACTACATGTATAATTTATTTTATTGTATTATAATAAATAGAATAATTACATGGGATTTGGATTAACTTCTATATATAATATCATAATTCATAATGTTGTATTATAAACCGCTTTAACAGTTAACTTTTACTTTTTTTAACAAAATAAAAAAAAAATGTTGAGCTAAGTGGCTCAAACATTTTAAATTTTATTACATTAAAAAAAATATATCATTGAAAGTGATTTAATGTTAAACACAAACATATTTATATAAAAAAAACTTTAAAGAAAATGTATAAATAGATAAAAACATGTTTACTCTCTGTCTCTGTGTAGATGTAGCTCTGGCGTTCCATTGGCCGCACGGTGTCCACGTCCGGACACCGACTCCGGCGGCGCTCACGTCCGAGTTCCTAGCTCTTATTATCGCTCATCCTGTACCAAAATCTCAACCACTGTTGGTAACGAGTCACCATCGTCGCGTCATTGATAGGTACCGCATCGGGTACAACATGTACACTGCAAAACCCGCCTGACGCGTTTCCTTGTGGTGGCAAATCTTCGTCGAAGAGGAGCTGGTTGTAGTATGATTACACTAGCCGGTTCTAGCCTACCGACCAGGTCCCCGAACGAATGCCCAACTTTTTGACGGTACTACGTCTTCTTCCATCACCATTGCCTCGACGTCGTCTTTCCGGCTAGTCATCGAAAATGTCCACAGTCGTTTCCTCGTTCGAGAGTAGGATCGATCGGCTGTGCTAACATTTCTGATGATGCGAATCGCCGTACACTACCAACGAAATCTCTGACGATACCGTCAATATGCTCTTCTCCATGTTTGTAATAATTGTGAGTAGTTCTATCACTTGATGTGTACAACTTTGTCTACGTAATTTTCTGCTATTTTATTGTACGAAAGTTGCGGCTTATTGTGAATGTGTTATATATAGATGGTAGACGCTTGTCTTCATTTGGACTCTGAATTACTAATGAATTTAATTGGAATATCATCAATGGCCGAGAAAATCGAAATCTTACAGATGACGGGTAGAGTACCTACTAGAGACTAGAGTGCCATTTAATATTTATTATTAACCAACGACGAATATATTCATCTTATTAATCGGCCAGTAGTAGACTTTCGGATTTCATTTATCTTTTCAAGACTATTATTGCTATTGATATAATATTATTTATTAATTAACTATATTATAATATTTTAATGAGGATTTCGATTGATACACTGCACCCATCTTATGCTTTTAGGTGATCCTTTTTTTAAATAAAATATTTTATTTCTTTTGATTCAAGTGTAAATAGATATTTTTTTCCAACAAACAACATTATTTTTTTTTCAATTATTTTAGATTTAATACAATGAAAAACGAGTACACAATACACATATTATTATTATTATGTCGACAAAAAAAAAAAAAAAAATCATTGTACTGGTTATTATAATATATTATTATCTAAATACTGATTATTCGGTACCTATATGAACACAACGATTTTGTTTTATCCAACGTCTATAAGTCGCTGATAACAATGTTTAGATTTTAAAACGTGAACATGAAGCACCCCAAATACCAATTATAGGTACATAATGTTATAATACTTTAAAAATTTAAGTTTTAAATTTTAACGTTAGTTTCATTTAAAAAGGTTAAAGTCAATCTAGTCAATTAAGTGGGAGCAAGTGAGCGAAAATTTCATATTGATAGAGAGCGCCGAACGTATAGGTTGCTGCGACGGCGACGACGACTGAAAAACTTGAGTAGGGAGAAGGAACTAGTACTAAGTATTTTAATCCCCCTTTTTACTTTACTGATGATAATTTTGATAAAATATAGGTACTATAATTTTGTAAAATATATTTGCATTTATGGGTTGTTAAAAAGATATCTATTTTTTTTGCGTTTATGGGATATTTATTTTTGTTGTGCTTTTAAGTTGCATTTGGGTTATACTTATAGGTTATAAGCTACAGCCAATTTGAACTTCACTATGAATTCTTTTAATATTTTAATGGTTTTAGACATTTTTAAAAATAAAAATGATACTTAATCTTCTTACAGTCGAATACTTATAATTTTTTTTTAAAGTATTTTATACGTAAGTAGGTAGTAGATACTTTAATTACAATATATAATATAGTTTGTTTATTCTTTGCTTTAATAGTATTAATTATGGATATTATCTCATGAATTTATTTTTGCTAAATCATATTATATTTTAAAAATATTAATTATTGAATTATTGCATAGCATACCTATGTAAGTAGGTTTTATTATATAAATTTTATAAATTTTATTGTTATTTAATTGATAGCAATTTATTTTTAAACCTGACCATATTTTGAAAGTGAAGCGAATAACTATGCTTATTTGGTTAGTTATTAATAAATTATTTTGTATTTTACTTAAATACTTAAAATTCTAAAAATCTCCTAAAAATACCCTTTAGTTTTTTTTTAATATGGACTAGTTATATTATGTAATTATGTCTATAGGTGTATCTTATGTATATCGACTATTCAAACAGAAAATAAATTGGTATAATATGGCTTTATAGAACTATTGAACTATATCAATATCAACCTAAATAGACAATTATTTAGTGGTGGCCGGCGAGTAGAGGTAGATATATAAAAAAGTGTTGTTATCAAGCTGGTATTTATTGTATAAAGAGAAGTAACTTAGGTTTTAGGTATCTACATTTTTATATTGATTTATACATGGCATACGAGTTGGTATTGACTACTGACTACTGAGCAAGTAGGGGTTACCACTTATAGTAGAAATTCTCCATGCCATTTTAATATGATAACATATTATGCCATCTATATAGACCTAAAAAGCCATTACTAATCAGCTACCCGGATCGGCCATGTCCTATATTTAACATACCGTCAGTGCTTGTTTTTCTTTTAACATCGTGCTTGTCGTTTTATGTGTAAGTTATTATTGTTTTTCCTAGATATTATTATCGGTTTTATAAACAGTTATCAATAGTATAATTGACCTAGGTAATCGAATGAATTATAATTAGTGCAATAAATTGAAGCTATACAGACATTCTGTTCAAAATTTAAAAAAGTAAGATCAACACGCAAGCAAATCGTGCGTGAAAATAAAACACACTCGTGTATTGAGTAAATATAGGTAATATATACAATATATCCTATACCACTTACCATAACTTAAGTCTTTAGTTAGGTTTTATGTGAAACATAATACTTATACATAGGTGTATAATATATAATATTAATATACAACCTAACAAATTACATTGCAGTTATCTTTTAGATTTATAAAGTACCTATGTATGGTGAAATCACCAACTTCCTACAAATAATAGTGTTTATCTTTTTTATTTGCAAGGTCGTATAAATTGTGGAATATAGATCAGTGTTAATGTGCACCTTGGGAGTTAGTACAAGTTGACAATAAAGAGTCGTGACTATATATCTATTCATACAAACTAATGTACTACCTATATAAAATGTAGACAGTCAATAGGAATAGGAAAAATTACTAAAAAGAAAAAAGATTGCAGTTTATACCTTGAAGAAAAGCATGTGGTAAATATTACTTATTAGATACCAAGTAGACCCGCCTATACCTAATAAGTTACAACTTATAAGTTTAATAATATCTATTTATTTTATAATATAAGGCCCTATTATAGCTAAGCAACTACAACCATCTTAATTATTATAGGTAAGAAAATTAATTTATTGCTGTAACCTGTAGATACTAATAGATAAGGTCTACTTTTTTTAGATAGTCCGGAAGGGTAAAATTAAATTTTATTAGTTGATACAATATTGTATTCATTACACCATAAAATTTCATTTTTTTAAATGAAGTTTATTCTATTTAATTTTCAAGTATAGTTTAATTTATTTATTCTTAAAACAATTAAGTATAAAGTATACCAAATAGGCAAAAAACCTCTAAATATGAAAAAATATGCGAAATAAAACTTCACATTCTTAACCATAGCACCTTACTTCGAAATG